ATGTTTAAACTTGAGATGCAGTTTTCTCAGCGTACTGTTTCACCAACTCCATGCTGAAGTCATCAGCTTTGGGGTTATAAATCATCAGTTTATGGGACAGGATTTATATATTAAGTATCTTTTTTCAAAGGCAAGCATTCTGGTAGATCTATCTGATTCTGAAGTAACAGGGATCAGTTGGAACATAACAGAGAGATGGCACGGGAACTGCAGCCCTGGCAATCGATAACAAATATGTATATGGCTCAGTCACACAGCTGTGTCGTTCAAGATGTGCAGGCAAAGAAAGGGGTCTCTACACATGCCATTTTACCATATGTAACCCAGCATCGCTAGCTGGATTAGCAACTGCAGGAACAAATCAGATATGGCATTACACATACATCCTAACGTTCATTCTAATTTGAAAATACATCCAGATAGAAATATCACCTACACATACTGTCAGTGAGATGAACTTTCAGATTAACATCCTCATCCTGGTGTAGCTACTCACATCTACAGTTGTGCATGAGTAGAACCAGATCGGGATGAAAGTACAGGATGGATTCATGCACGTGCCTCCCATAAGTGCATCCCCTACATGCACGATGCCACAGAGATGCTTTCTGACAGCTTGGTATTCCTCTAACACATAGAAAAGAGCAAAGACATTACCCCTAGACAGGGATGTCAAGTGTCTTCTTTGGACAGGCATTCTCCAACCAGTGGCACACCTGCTCACCAGTGTTTCCTCTAAGCTAAGTTAGTGTGAGCTAGCTCACAGGTTTTTAGCCTCCAGCTCACACATTTCTGTCTTAGCTCAGGAAGGATGCCTCCAGAGCAAACTAATTTATGCTGCAGCCAAATCGCTCGCTCACAGCTTTAATGCCAGTAGCTCACAAAGCAGGATTTTTGCTCACAAGACTACACAGCTTAGAGGGAGCATTGCTGCCCACCCTCACCTCTGGAGCCAGCAAGTGAATCAGGGCTGGAGGGTGGAAACGATATTGCACAACATGCTAACATCATTCATTGCGCAAAACTCTGGACATGACATCAGCCGATGCTCTAGAGACTCTATGGCAATATGACCACCACAGGGCAATGTCACGTCCACCCCTAATTCTGCCCCACAACCCCCTGGGCGTGTTTGGCAGCCTGGCATCCCTAGTCCTAGATAAAGTCGTAGCAATCCGCCATGTTACCACGTTCGCCCCAATCTGCAATAAAATCACCCTTATCATTTTAAGCATTTCTTCTCTGCTTCTCTCTCAGCTTGACAGAATTATATGGAATAGAATAAGCCCCCCCACGCCCAGTGATCTTCCCAGGGTAGTATGGCAGAGTCACTGGATGTGTGATCCTATGTGTTGTTATTCCACTTGAACCCCATTTATCTAGATTGCAGTAACTCCGTACAGGACTGCACTCTTGAGTGTGCATGCTCATATGCAATAAGAAGCACCTCTCTCCACAGACACACAAACGAGAGTGGACTTGACTTTTGCACAGCAGATGCATTTGGAAATCCACTTTCAGATTCTAAGAAAGCTGATTACATCAGCTTCTGCCAAACTGTATACAAGAGGAGGTCTGCTTCACCATCCCCAGGTGTCCTCATAAAATGTTTATGAGGCACTCACCAAAACATTTTGCAGGCTTGCTTCCTTTGCAGGCTACGCACCAGGCAAGATTTCCAGGTGTGCATCCCGTTATTGGCTGGGGGGGGGGGATAACAGAGCACTGATTGATTCCCATGGAAAGCAACAAACACCTCCAAGTTCAACTCGCTCTTCATCCCAGCTCGCCCTGCAGCCTCCAAAACGGAAGCACCTTTGCAAATGCGGCCAGCTCTTCATGCATTTGAAATGGAACTGGCTGGCTTTCTAATCAAAAGTCAAAGCATCCATGATGCAAATGATGGATTCCACAGAAATAATATATAGGCCAAGAGCAGCAGCAGGTAAGACGTTGTGTGGGTGTAGCGACTGAGCAAGAGAGTTTAAAAGAATTTTGGGTTGCCTAAACCTGTCAAAGCTTGCATCTCTCAGATCTTTGCACAACTGAAATATGTATGGTGGAATTCAGTCTAGCCTTAAGCTTTACGTCTTTTCTGATTAATGTTGGCTTTCGATATAGATTTGAGATGTATGTAAACATCCGTGGGAAACATTCACATAGAGAAGAGTTGTCAGGATTACAAGTATTCCCGGGTGCATTGTTGGTAAAATAATTCACCTGGGGGGATTGCTGTCACACTGGTGGGCACGGTCCTGACCCCTTCTGTACACAGGTATTGTACACATGAGTTGTGGAGGCTGCAGTTATTGTTTTATGACAATCCATATAGTTTCTTCGGGAATGAAGGGGAAAGTGTTGCCACCACATGAGCAGATCCTCTATGTACGGCTCCTTCTGATGTGTTTTGAGAGTTTCGTGAAAGAGGAAATCGCCTTGAGACAGTCAGGGCAAGGCCAACCATATGGCTATGAAAATGCTATACCCTTCCTCCCTGTCAGTCAAGAGTCACTAACCTTCCCCAGCGTCCACACTCATCGCATCCCCTAACTTGGATGAAAATCCCCACCCAACCCTGTCATGTCAAAGTGGGGCAGAAATCCACCTTATTTCCCTTGGCAAAGTGGCAAAAATCCACCTTTTCCCTTTAACCCGCCCAAGGCGAGAGTCCAATAGGGCAGCTGGACTACTAAGAAACCCCTAATCCCCAGGAAGGCTGAAACCCTCTTCCTTTGCCCAAGGGAGCAGCTCCTTCGAAGGAAACGGAAGGCGGGGTCCCTCCCAGCAGCAAGTGTGTTTTGGAAGGCGCACCTCGAATTTGCAAGAAAGGAGAAAAAGAAACCAATCGCTCCCCCCCACACACACACAACGTGCCTGTTTAGTAGGTTTCGATGCCCTCCGCGGAGTCTCCGCCGGATCTGCAGGTGCTTCTGCCGCCTGCCCCAACGCGACTCCCTTTCCCCCCACCGGCGTCAAGTGCTTGCAAAGTCAGAGAGCCGCACCGATTCCCTCCCACCCCCAAAGTGCGCTCCCCCAAAGTGCGCAGACCCGGACTCCAACCCTCCCCCCCTTCCCCTTCTGCCGAAGTCGGGCTCCCCCGGGATCCAAAGCGAAACTCCAGGCGGCTGCCTCAGCGCCAGGTGAACAACACGGGCAAGTGGACTCGCAGCTTCTCCCGAAAGTGAAGCCCGGCAGGGGCGCACGACCGGCGCAACAACGCCCGACTAGGTCCCCTTCCCCTCCGTCCCCCCCAGGCCCCTGCCTACCTTCCGTCAAACTCCCCTGAAGCTTCCAGGTAAAGCCAGGAGAGAAAGATGAGCTTCAAGGATAAATCCATTCGGCGGCCGGGGGGGGGGGGGGGGGAAGAAAAAAAGGGGGTGGAGGGAGGTGCAGGAGTGGTTGGGATGTGTCTGATGTGAGTTGGAGAAGGTAGTAAGTATAACGTAATACCAGGAGCAGGGAAACAGAGAAAGTCATGCAAAGTAGGGTTTGGGGGTATAGTTGGCTGGTGATCCGAGTTCAAATTCCCCTAGTGTAAAATCTAGGCTTTGTAAGAAGAGCTCTGTAAGCTCTTGGAGGATTGGCTACATTAGGGGTGTGTTGCCTAATATGCAAAGGAGTTCCTGCTACAAAAAGAGCCCTGAAAGAAATCAGTTCACCTGGAGAAAATGGCTGCTTTGGATGTTGGATTCTATGGCATTGTACCCCATTGAAGTCCCTCCCCTCCCCTCTCCAAACCCCACCCCCCTCAGGCTCCATTCCCCAAATTTCCAGACATTTCCCAACCTGGAGCTGGCAATCCTAGTGTAACTAGAAAACTTCAATAGATTTGTTAGGCTTTAAGGTGCCACAGGACTCTTTGTTCTAGTCCTCTAGTTCTAGTTGAGAGCCAGCTTAGTGTAGTGGTTAAGAGCACGGACTCTAATCTGGGAGAACCAGGTTTGATTCTCCACTCTTCCACATGCAGCTGCTGGTATGGCCTTGGGTCAGTCACAAGTTCTCTCAGAGATACTCTCTCAAGATCAATCCTCAAAAGAGCTCTCTCAGCCCCACCTACGTTACAACATGTCCATTGTGGGAAGGGGAAGGGAAAGGAGATTGTAAGCCACTCTGAGACTCCGAATGAAGGGTGGGGTATAAATCCAATATCATCTTCTTAAATAATTATTAAATTATTACATTTGGTACTGTATGGACTTGACAGGATTCTGAAGCTATGACTTCTGAAGATAAAAAAGCTCTCTGGCATCCTGTTTTGCAGGGCCTCTAAAACGGAGCTGTTCTGCCAGGCCTTTGGTTGAGGTGGTGGGCATCCAGTCATTCCATTTATTGGCCTCCCCCTGCTGAATCTTATATCTGTGATTGGCCCATCAACTGAAGACCAACAATTTGGTCTATGGCTTAGCGGCTCCCGCTTTAAGACCACTACACTGAATGCCGCACCACCTGTTTAGCTTATAGTTCTGTTTTAATCTGTTTTCGCTATAGTTGAATCATTCTCATGTTTTAATTCCTCCCGTGGAATGTTTTAACTCTTACTGATATGATCCGCTCTGAGCCTGCTAGCGGAGAGGGCAGAATATAAGTCGAAAGTAATAAATAAGTAAATTCTAATTTTTGTACAGATGAACTGACCGAATCTAGTCAGAAAATACCTAGGCACTGCCTGGAACTCCCTCACTTGGTTTATTTTTTGCTGCCAAGTAACAGCTGACCTGTGGTGACCCTGTAGGGTTTTCAAGGCAAGAGACATTAGAGGTGGTTTTCTACTCCGTGCCTCTGGGTAACAACCATGGTATTCCTTGGTGGTCTCCTATTTAAATACCAACTGGGGCCAACCCTGCTTACCTTCCAAGAGTGGGCTAGCCTTGGGCTATCCAGGTCAGGGTGTGCATTGTGAAATCCCAGAACACTGTTTCCCCAGTCTCTACGCCCACCCCCTGGCTCCTGCCGCAACTTGGAGCTAGGCTGGCAGCTCTGAAACCAAGACTGGAAAGTTCCAAGGCCATTCTCCCTACAATGGGAACAGCTACTTCCAAATGGAAGCTCCCTGCAAATGCCAAGGAGGTGTCTCCTGGGGTCTTCTGCTCCAGTGAGGTAGAGGACAGCCAGGATTACTTGGTGTTTTGTGGAAGAAGCAAGCGTACCCAAGGAAACACACTGGTGGGCTCTGGGCAAGGGTGTAGACTTTCCAATTTCCCGGGGGGGGGGGGCTGGGGCTGGGCCAGAGGCATTGCTTTGCTAGGAGCAAGGGTGGCTCCCGGGGGAGGCTGAGCACCTTCCTGAAAATTTCGGCGGGGGCTGATGCCCCGCCGCCCCCACAAAGATTACGCCTATGGCTCTGGGGCATCCATGGGTGCCAGCCGCATTGGAAATCACTGTAGGGATCGAGAGTGGCAGAGGATGTGGAGACAACCTGATCTTCATTCCACCAGCCCATTCTGCTGCCACAGTGGAAAAGTTGAGAAATGTGGAAGGAGAACAAGACAATTATTTTCGTGTCACTGTCCACAGCCTCTTGCATTGTTTATCCGAAAATCTTAACTGTAGACTTTTATGAAAGCAATGTGTCTATCATAACAGAAAAATAATCCGTTCCAAACATAAAGCGTTTGGCTAAAACTCTTTTCTTCCAAAACAAAATATCACTTTTTCCAAGTACTGTTTACTCTGGAAATTCAGTATTAGCCATAACGGTATATACAAAAAAGTTCTATTCACGGTCTTCATAAGCTCATGGGTTGTCTACCATCGTGAGTTCAATATGGATTTGACTGCAACAACTAACAAAAGCTGTAGCAACAGGAAAATAAAGCATACATCTTTGCAAAAAGGTGAAAAAGTTTCTGCTGTATGCATGTCTGCAGTGGCTGCCTGAAGCATTCAGAGCCAATATGGTATAACGGTTAGACTAGGAATTAGGAGACCTAGATTCAAATCTAACCATGAAGTATGCTGGATGTCAGTGGACAACTCCCAGCTCAAGGATTGGATATTTAGATTTGATGCACTGATTGAGCAACCTTCAATTACAAAATCTAAAGCAGTTCCATGGTATAAACTATTAAAATCAGATGACTCTAGATCTTATGGGCACTCAATGAAATTGCTGAGGAGTCGGGTTAGAATGGATAAAAGGAAGTACTTCTTCACCCAAAGAGTGATTAACACATGGAATTCACTGCCACAGGAGGTGGTGGCGGCTACAAGCATGGACGGCTTCAAGAGGGAATTAGATAAACATATGGAGCAGAGATCCATCAGTGGCTATTAGCCACAAGGTATACATAGGAACTCTGAGGCAAGTGATGCTCTGTATTCCTGGTGCTTGGGGGGGGGTCAACAGTGGGAGAGCTTCTAGGGTCCTGGCCCCACTGATGGACCTCCTGATGGCACCTGGTATTTTTGGCCACTGTGTGACAGAGTGTTGGACTGGATGGGCCATTGGCCTGATCCAACATTGGCTTCTCTTAGGTTCTTATGTCATCAGATTATTTGGCCAGCATTTCTAACCGCATTCTTAGGGTGACTTTTACTTCACTCCGTTTTCAGTCTATTCCAACGGCGGTTCTGACTGGCCGCTGTCTTCAAATAACAATGGACCAACGTGTCTGCATCTGTGGATCGCTTACCCCCAAGGATTTACCTCATTATATCTTAATCTGTCTGTTATACACTAACCCTAGGGTTAGCAGATGAGTAGATTGTATTGTAGTGTTTAGTACCCTTTCCCTTTAGTATTTAGAAAATGCAATAAAAATCCCCTTTGGGGGGGGGGCTTAAAAAAGATTATATTCCTGCTATCTGATAATTGTGCATACGTATCTTATAGTCTCTCTCTGTTTGCCTTTGTGGCAAGAAGTTAAGGTCTGAGAGTGTATTGTTGGGGGCAGTTTCTTGAAACCGTAGTTTGTTAAATTTTAACCTGTTTTAATCGCAGATTTATTCTAGTTCTATGGTTTTATATAATAATGTAATCCATGGTTCCTCCAAACTTGTGATGGCCAATGGCTATATACAATAACTATTTGACTGACCTACCCTACCTAGCGACAAGAAACATGCCAGCTTTGGGATTTTGCATGGATCCTGATGCCTATACAAGGCAGTATACACTTGAACATTAGGCTATAGAAAGTTTGGGAAGAGATAGTTTTTGGGAAGTTTGGGAAGAGATACCAGCTTCAGAGGCAGTATTCTTCTAGTTACCAGATATTGGAGATGAACCATTATGTCTGGACATCACCTTTCTCACTTTACCTGTGAACTTCCATGGGAGACAAAATGCTCAACTAGACATAGTAAGCCAATTCTTAGGCTTTAGTCAGAGAAACTGGGATCATCTCCAGTCTCCTTTATAACACACACTTGTGTGTTATCTACAGTATAGTACATAGTACTAAAAGTACCTTGGCTTAAAGAAAAATAAGGCTTTGGAAGCTACTTTACCAATTTGAAGACATAACTATGGAATGCTTTGCTAACACACCCTAAACCATGACCCCAGTTGGATAAAGGAAAAAATAAACAACCACAAAGAACACTGTTGAGATGAAATTACAAGCCGTCTGGATTGGGAAGCGATGCAAGAATTTAAATATGAGCTGTAGTTGTTGATGTACTGTAGTGAGGAAATGCAAAGAATGGCAAGCAAAGAACTTTTCAGAAATCATGTATTATTACAGTAATGTGCAACAGGGCATCCAACTTTGTAGACCTTTCCATACTCTAGCTTTTCATCAGTTCATTTTGTACTAGACAGAGGATTATTTTTATAGTAAAACACAATGTTTAGGTAAAAAATAGAGTATTTCTAATCCAATATCAAGCTACCTAAACATAAGGACAAGAATAGACCCAGGCAGAAGTACCACTTGGAAGAAAAGCCACATTAACTGTGTGTAGAAGTTTGTTTTTGTGCATAATAGATGCACACGGGGGAGTGAGAAAGTACCTGCCGGTGCTGCCAAAACTTACTTTCGAGTGGAAGGTCTGAACAAATGTGTTTGTAAGTATAGTAGTTTCCAAAGGGAGACAGGCTTGTGTGGTTTCCTAGTTACTGCTGCAGCTGCTGCTACCATGCAGCTACATGGTGTGTGTGTGTGTGTGTGTGTGTATGTGTTTAAAAAAATGCCCTGACCTGGATAGCTCAGGCTACCCTGATCTCATCAGTTCTCACAAACTAAGTGGGGTCAACCTGGTTAGTTCTTTGATGGGAAATCATCAAGGAAGTCCAGGGTTGCTATGTAGAGGCAGGCAATGACAAACTACTTCTGAATGTCTCTTGCCTTAAAAACCCTATGGGGTTGCCATAAGTTGGCTGAGACATGACAGCCATTTACACACGCAGGGAAAATAGCTGCCGTGTGGGTGGGAAAGTATGGACTTTCTGACCCACATGGCAGCCATCCAGGCTTCAGTGCAATCTTTCTAAAAACATCACAGCAAAGCAGGTTTCAGAAAGATCAGAGAAAAGCTGGGGAAATTCCAGGAGGTACACGAATGTACTGCAGTGTTGTGAGAAAGGGGGGGGGGGGAGTCACCAACAGTCTTGAACCCAGAGCAAATGACTTGTATTCTACGGCAGGACTAGCCAGCACGATTTCTGCATCCTTGTATGCACATTCAGTTTAGGCACTGGTTTGAACATCTGCACAAGGCTCCTGAACGAGAGACTGTAAAGCCAGCTAAACACATTCCTTTGCAAAACAGACAGCAATTTCTCTTGGCACACACCAATCAAGGAGCTAAAGCAGGCTAAGGAAATGAGTATGCAGGGAACAAGTAGCAACGTAAAATCGATTTCTTGCCCAGAGATAATGAGCCATGTCCAGGCCTTACTGACTGTATATACACACACCGCAGGTGGTGCTGACAGCAAATTCTCCCATTAATGTCTCATTAGAATACATTCCAATGGTAAATTGCTTCTGTGCGACTAAGAAGGCCGAGACTTATTTCCTCTCCTATGTCTAATTCACTGATGAACTTCCATTGGGCAGCTGGACCTGATGTTCTGTAGCCATGTTGTTTGCAAGCAGCTGCTGCTCTCCAGATTTGTCACTTGTGAAATTGCAAGCGCACACAAGAGTGCTGTTAACCATTTCTTAATAAAACCCACCTGCTCCTCTCTCCCCCACTGTGTAGGTGAGCAGTGAATGTGCTGACAATGTTCAGTGTAAGCTATTGCTGGTGATTTCTTAACACATCTTGCTTTTTCTGCTGTGTGATTGGTGGCCCTAATAGATTTTAGGGGGGAAAGGCGACAGCATGATGCCAAGAATCCCATGGCTTATTTCCTCTCTCTGTATTACTGTGTATACCTTTTATTCTTCATCCATGCACTTGCAATGGAATAGGCCTGTAGGACAGGGGACAACATAGTACATTACTCTGAGTCACAACTTAAACCAATACAAACTAAAATTCTGTGACACCTTCTCAGTTTTTATAATTCCTATGTGAACTCACAAACTCAATTTTTATCCTCCCCAACTAAAGCTTCCTGTTCATTTATTTTATTTATTTAATTCGTTTACACCTCATCTTTCTCCCCAATGGCTTACAGCATGCATGGAAACTGCTGTTGGAGATCATTACTGTGATTTACCAAAAGAGTTATACAAATCAGGGATTCTTAAACATTACAAGTTTTTCGTGTTTGGGTGCTTACCGCCACCACCAGCAGGTCTCTTGTTTTTCTTTGATTCTCTCTGTTTCCCAGACAGTGGTTCAGGAAAGGGTAGTTTCTGGTGCAAGTCAGGCATAGGGACTGGCAGAAGTGCGGTTCTGGGGGTTCTTTAGTGGGCAGGGAGCACTAGCTCCTCTGCAACTTCGATGTCATTTGGTTGAAAAACAGCCACTCCAGTCCTCGCACCCCAAATCCCCCATAGGCAATAATGGCAGTTCTTGACGTCTTGACCAGCTTCTTCTCCTTCCTTTGGGGAGGTGTGGAGCCCTTTTTTCCACAGCAAGTAGGATGGCTGGGGGCGCCTTGTTCAGGGGCCTATAGAGTTGGACCCCATGGTCTAGCTTTCTTCAAGCTTTAGATTAGGAGGACTATGTTACATTCTGTGCAAATTTGGTGCCATTATCTTTAAAAACAGCTGCCCTAGTTGGCTCCCCATTGAAAATAAGGGTCCCGAATATCAGGAACCTGACAACACACTTGGCTTTGAAACCCAAACCAGTAATGTTCTATCTGAAAACTAGCAATCATGGTAAAGGTTTCTTTCCTGAATTCTTAAAAAAAAAAGATAACAAAAGTTCTCTTGCCACATACTCCTACCCAACTAGAAGATGTACTGGAGATCACTAAGAATATAGTTAACCCAACTGGGTAAATGGTGGTGTTTTTATTTTGGCTGCCTTGTGCTAAATTATTTATTATATTGATGTTATGTTCAGATTTTATCTTGTATGGTTTTATATTGTTGTAAGCCCTATGATGGGGCTACTAAGTTTAAAAGGTGGGGTACAAATGTTTTGTTCTGTCTCACTCATCTGCTGTATGACATCTAGCTTGGCCCTTCCCACAACCAGGTTCATTTTATATGACTCCTCCTGAGCAGAATAATTTCCTCACTATCATCTTATAACTTAACATCAATATTATAACTTAACATCTGATATTATGCTTTAAGATGATAGTACTCAGAATGCTATATGCTGCTATGGTGTAGTGCTTGAATTAATGAGGACACTCTTGTCTCCCGGTTTTCACATAAGAGCTGCCTTGTGAACAAAGCAGTTAAAAGGGCCACAGGTTTGTGATGGATCTGAGCAGTTTCCTCTGAAGGAGCATTCCTGGCGAATGTGAAACACACTGGGTTTCATTTCTGTATTACTGTACCACAGTGCTCAGACCAAGGCCTCCTGAAGCAGCTTTCAACAATTGTTTTTTTAAAAAAAGAATAGAATCCTTTTTTAAACAAATCATTAAAGCAATACACAATCGAAATGGAGCAATAGAGAAAGTAACATTCAGACTGTAAACTGCAAACAGGGCTTTGCCAGCCACCAATAATCCAAAGTCCTTCTTAAAACGTAAAAAGTTTTGCTAATCCACAACAGCTAGAATCCTCTTCACATCTGGCATTTCTTCACAAAGAGAATACTGCAAAAAAGGCTACTTGCCTCTTACATAAATGCTGATTGCCACTTTGGGCTCAGGAAGCAATCCTGGAGATTTTTTTTGTCATATTCTGGGCATGGAACAGTGGTTACTGCAGGTGTGGAGGGGAAGGTATTTGTGAATTTCCTGCCTTGTGCAGGAGGTTGGACTAGATGAGCCTGGAGGTCCCTTCCAAGTCTATGATTCTATCTTAAGACATAGTGTGTTGTTTGTTGGACAATTTACATTGTATTTATTTATTTGCTGTTGCAGCTGCATTGGGTCTTCCTGGGGAGAAGTGCAGGATACAGATATTTAAATAAATATGTAACAGAATGAGCACATGCTGCCATATGGCCCCTTCCACTCATAACCTATACGAAAAAAAATATCAACCTAATTATCAGGTTGGTGCTACATTTCCTGAATGACAAGATCTGAGTTCAGCAGCACTTTAAAGACCAACAGGATTTCCAAGGTATAAGCTTTCAAGGGTCAAAATTCCCTTTGTATCTGATGAAGGAAGACTTGATTCTCAAATGTTTAAACCCTAGAAATCTAGTTGGTCTTTAAGGTGCTCCTGGAATCAAATTTTGCTCTTCTACTGCAGACCAACATGGCTACCCACCTAAAACTAACTTGATTGTGGATCTTAAGCTTTGGAACTAGCTGCCCACTGAGATCATTGAAGATCCTTGATCCCATTGCCTTTAGGAAAGCTGTGGAGGTCTTTTTATTTATTCACACCTTCTAGCTTTACCTCCGTATGTCAACTGATTATAGCTTATTTGTAGTTTTGCTGTTTATATTTGTGGTATACGGGGTTTACTGAATCTGTAGCTCTTGTTATTAATTTGAATTAACTGCTCTGAATACATTGTGAAAAACAAGTCCTAAATATCCCAAACAAATAAATACAAATAAATAGCCAGTGTCGTGTAGTGGTTAGTATCAGACTGAGATCTTGGCACCCAGCTTTGAATCCCCACTCTGACATGGAAGCTTGTCAGGTGACCTGGGGGCCATAACCTACCTCACAGGGTTGTTGTGAAGATAATATGCAGGAGAGGAGAATAATATAAGCTGCTCTGGGTCACCCCATTGGGGGAAAAGTCAAGGTATAATTGAAGTAAACAAATAAAACAGTAGAGGCTGGGAAATAATAAGCACTCTCCCACCTTGCCCTGAAGCTACTTTTTCCAAAATAAAGCAGTCAGCAGGGTTTAATCCGTATGTTTGTGAACAGTATGTAATCTGCTCCAAAGCCACCCTCTTAAATGCTTTTCTAAGAAAAAAAGATTAGATGTGTATTTTGATGAACAAAATCATCATTGTGTAGTCTTCCACAATATGTCTTTGTCGAACTACTTGACTGCATTATGGGCAAAACAAGTAAATGGTTGCACAATAAAAAAATAAAAATGAGAAGTGTGGCTGCTTTTATCCAGGAGCGGCATACTGTTTTACATTGTCAGAGCTTGTGATCACAAAAGCATTAGCACTGTGTTTTCCAACAGGCAAGATCCATCTTTACAGGAAGAAGAAAAGATACCACCTTTCCAGCAAGGAAACTTAGAAAAACAAACCTTTATGAGTTCTATTATTGTGCAGGGAGATGAATGTTTTAGGATGTTCCTTTTCTGAGAACCAGCTGTCACTTAATCACACATTTCAAGCAGGATTTAAGAAGCTCTGCAGGCAACCTTGCTGCCAAGCCCTTTCTTTTCTGCTTCCTTTTTTTTTGGAGACAATGGATTCAAGATGTACAGTGTCTTCTTCCCAGGCTTAGTATGAACCTCCACAATAATTACTGGACTGTGAATGGCAAGGACCAATAATTGATTCAAATGGATAAGAAACTTTGAACTAAACAGGAACACCCACTATCAAGTTGTTTTTTGGAGAGCACGTTTCTGGTTCCATGGATGTCACTTGAACAGAGTAGCTGCATGATCTTTCCACGCTCCAAGCCCGGTCCAGATCCACTAGCCCCATACAATGCTTACCTAGAACACAAAAGAACAGAATACATACAATTCAAATGGCATCAGTCTTAGCAACAGTGACACAAGTAAACATATCGGCATACCACTCAAGTATGTCTGGAGCCTTCCTCTGCCAGAACAAGCCTTCCACTGAAGAATAGCCCCTCTGCAAAAAGAAGGCTCTCTGCACTTTGCTATACAGAGTGGAAGGCTATGGCACTTTGAAGTACTCCAAATTACTTTTGTAATCTACGAATTGTTTACTTACTCAGTGTCTGATGTGCCTCTTTATTATGAACAGAAAGACTACTGTGGCCTAGAGATACCAATGAAGGACTAATTCACAAATGAGAGAATGTGAGAATAAACATTACACTGAATCATCTCAAGCACAATATTTTTCAAGGGCGACAGGTAACAGTTTTGATATACTGGGTAACACAGGGATTTCACAAGCAACCTGATCGGTGCTCCAGTGGTAATGGATCGCATCTTATGACACCTTTCACTAAGCCTTCTTTCCACCAAGAAATGTGTCTTTCAACAGACTTTTCTCCATCAGAAGAATTTATTCTCCATTGGAGGACACATTTCCTGAAGGAAGGCATAGCTGAAGAAAGTCACAGGATCCAACCCAGTGAATCCAGCACAGAATGTGTATCTTGTGTTACCTTTCTGGTAAGAAAACCACAGTATTACAGGACATATCCACCATCTAAAAACCTGGTTTCCTCTACAGAAATAGTGCTGACAGAATAGAATGATCACAGCCATCATTAGTTTATATAAATCTAGTGAATATACTTAATCACTTGAACTAGTAGCTTTTTATCTCTAGATACACTGTAATTTGTGTGGTGCCTAGCTTTGCTAAGGTCTTCCTTAAAATTGTATTTAAAAGAAGAACACTGTGAAGTAGCAGGCCCTGTTCCAGTGATGAAGTGTCTCAGCTCCAGTGACAAAGTGTCTGGAATGAGGGAATAAACAGGTGAGTTCAGCAGCAGGGTGAAGAAGCCAGGGCTCTAGTCTCTCCACATCCCTAAAAGGGTAAGCACACTTTCCACAAACAAATCTACATAAACAGGAAGTTTTATTAAAAAGGGGATAAAAATAATAAAAAGGTAATTATGAAGGTAGAATGCCAGCAGGGGGTTGGGGGCTATCCACTGAGTGCAACATATATGACTATCTGCCAACTGGACAGAAGTCATGGGTATGTGCTCAATGCAAGGAGCTCCTAGTTCTCAGGGAATGAGTTTGCACCCTCGAGGCCAAGGTGGCTGACCTAGAGAAGCAGAGACAGTCAGTTAGGCACACAAATAAAACTGCTGGAGACTTGTTAGATGTGTCCTATTCTAATTGCTGTCTGGAAGCATGAGGGTCAAAAGGAAACAGGGCACTGTGCTGATAAAAAGGGGAATGTTCCCTCAGAAGCAACCCCTTCTTCAGTTGGTGAACAGGTATCCTTTCGCACCAAGGAACTATCCCTGGGCAGGGAGGGAGAGGGGCTCTTGGTAGCTGGTGATTCGATATTTAGGCATGTAGACAGATGAGACCTGTGTGCTGACCACACAGTGACTTGCCTGCCTGGTGCGAAGGTAGCAGATATTACACGTGGTCTAGATAGGCAGGTAGACATTGTTGGGGAGGAGCCAGTGGTTGTGGTCAATGCTCCCTTTAAACTGTGGAGTCTTGTGAGCAAAAATCCTACTTTGTGAATTACTGGCATTAAAGTTGTGAGCGAGTGATTTGGCTACTGTATAAATTACTTTGCTCTGGAGCCATCCTTCCTGAGTGAAGACAAAAATGTGTGAGCCAGAGGCAAAAAAACTGTGAGCTAGCTCACACTAACTCATCTTAGAGGGAACACTGCTTGTGGTACATGTTGGCACCAACAATATGGGGAAATGCAGTCGTGCG